TTTTTTATTCATTCCTCAGTTGACAGGCATTTGAGTTGTGTCCAAAATTTTGCTATGACAAATTGTGCTGCTATAAATATGGGGGCACATACATAACAATGATATGATGTTTTTAATTCTTCTGGGAAAATACCCAAAAGGGGAATGGCTGGGTTAAGTGGGACCTCTAATCCTAATTTTTTGAGGAATCTCCAGACTGATTTCCAAAGTGGTTGCACCAGTATACATTGCCACCAACAGTAGAGAACAGTTCCTTTTTCCCCACAGCCCCTTCAGCATTTGTTATTGGTTGATTTCTCTATGGTAGCCATCCTTCAGGGTGAGATGAAATCTCAGAACTGTTTTAATCTACATCTCTCAAATGACCAATGATTTTCAACATTTTTTCATGTGTTTATTTGCCATTTATACTTCTTCATCTGTGAAGTGTGTGTTTATCTCAGATGCCCATTTTTGTATTGGGTCTTTGAATTTGGGGAGTCTGGATTTTTTCGGTTCTTTATATGTTCTAGATATAAATCTTTTGTCTGAGGGACAGTTAACTGAAATGTTTTCCCACTCTGTGGGTTGTCTTTTCACTCTATTGGTGATTTCTTTTGAAGTACAAAAGCTTTTTAATAGGATAAGATCCCAGTTGTTGATTCTTTGAAGTGTTCCCTGTGTGGTTCGGGTTTTATTCATGAAGACTGTGCCTACCCCTATGTCTTCAAGATTTTGACCTACTTTCTCTTCCAGTAGACTTAGTGTTTCTGTTTTAATAGTTAAATCTTTGATCCATTTGGACTTTAGTTTAGTGCATGGTGATAGAGATGGGTCTAGTTTTAGTCTTCAGCATGTAGAGAGCCATTTTTTCCAGCACCATTTATTAAAGAGGCTGTCTTTCTTCCAGTAAACATGTTTGGCCCCTTTGTCAAAGATAAGGTTGCTGAGTGTGTCTGTGGTTGTGTCTGCATCTTCAAATCTGTTCCACTGGTCTTCAGGTCTATTTTTTGCCAGTAGCATGCTGATTTTATCACAGTAGCTTTGTAGTATAATTTCAAGTCAAGGATTGTGATGCCTCCTGACTTGTCTTTGTTGCTGAGGATTGCCTTTGCTATTCTAGGTCTATTCTAGTTCCAGATGAATTTTAGGAGTATTTTCTGTACTTCTGTGAGGTATGCTAATGGTAGTTTGATTGAGATTGCATTAAATCTGTATAAAAATTTTGGAAGCATGGCCATTTTTGCTATTGCTTCTCCCTATCCATGAGCAAGGAATATCTTTCCATTTTCTGATATCCTCTTCAATCTCCTTTTTCACAGTACTGTAATTTTAAATATATAAATCTTTTACTTTCTTCATTAGATTGATTCCCAAGTATTTCATTTTTTTGGATGCTATTGTGAAGGGTGTAGTTCCCCTAATTTCTCTCTCAATAAGTTTGTTGTTTGTGTACAAGAATGCTATTGATTTTTGAGTACTGACTTTGTATCCAGCTGCACAACTGAATTTGGTTATTAACTCTAGGAGTCTTTTGGTGGAGTTTTTGGGGTCTTCTATGTAGAGTATCATGTCACCTGTGAATAGTGAAAATTTAACTTCTTCCTTCACTATCCTTATTCATTTTATTTCTCTCTCTTGTCTAATTGCTCTGGCTAATGTTTCCAGAACTATGTGGAAAAAGAGTGGTGATAGTAGACATCCCTGTCTTGTTCCTGATTTTAGAGTGAAAGCTTTCAGGTTTTGTCCATTTACTGTGATGTTGGCTGTTGGTTTGTCATAGATGATTTTTATCAGATTGAGATAAAGACCATCTGTCTTGGTTACTTTTTTTTCATTGTTGAGACAAAATACCTGACACCCAAAATTAAGTAAGGAAAGGTTTATTTAGCTCACAGTTTTTAGAGGTTTCAGTTCATACTTGGTTGGCTCCAAGGCAGGGTAGTGCTTGGCAGAGGGCAACAGTTCATGGTGGTGGAACAGCAAAACAACAAGAACAATAAGGGAGGAGCAGTGTCAAGCAGGCTGTTTCCCTCCCTTACATTATATGCAAACTATCCTCCCCAGGGCAGGTGTAGCACTCACATCCATAATCTCAACATTGGACTGTGAATCAGTCATAAACTCTAGAAGCCTGCTCTGTGACTGCATGAGGCTTTGAGGGTACATCTAGACACAAACCATGAAACCAGCTATTTCAATTTTATGTAGGGTTTTTATCATGAATGAGTGCTGGACTTTTATCAAAAGTTTTTCTGCATCTATTGAGATGATCATGTGATTTTTTGTCTCTGGCTCTGTTGATATGGTATACTATATTTATTAATTTGCAGATGTTGTGCCATCCCTGCATTCCTGGGATAAATCCCACCTGGTTATGGTGTATAATCTTGTTGATAATTTGTTGAATTCTGTTTGCTAATATTTCATTGAGGATCTTTGCATCTGTGTTCACTAGGGAGGTTGGCCTATAGTTCTCTTTTCTGGTTGTATCATTCTCTGGTTTTGGTATCAGGATAGAATTTGCCTCCAGGAAAGAGTTAATGAGTATTTCTTCCCTTCCAATTTCATTAAAGAGTTTGAAGAGTATTTGTATTAGATCTTCTCTAAATTTCTTGTAGAATTCAGCCGTGAATCCATCAGGACCTGGGCTTTTCTTTGTTGGTAAGTTTTTAATTACATTTTCCATCTCATTAACTGATATTGGGTTATTCAGAATTTTTATATCTTCTTGATTCAGCTTTGGTAATTCATATGTATCTAGGAATCTGTCCATTTCTTCTGTGTTTTCCATCCTGTGAGAGTAAAGATTTTCAAAGTATGTGGTGATGATCTTCTGAATTTCTACAGGACCTGTAGTGACTTCCCTTATCATTCCTTAATACAGGAATTTGAGCATTTTCTTTCCTTTTTTTGATAAAGTTGTCTAAGTGCTTATCAATTTTATTTATTTTCTCAAAGAACCAACTCTTTGATTCATTAATTCTTTGTATTGTTTCCTTGGTTTCCGTTGTGTTAATTTCTGCTCTGATCTTTATAATTTCTTCCCATCTATGGGCTTTGGGTTTGTTTTGCTCTTCTTTTTCGAGAAGCTTGAGGTGTAACATTAGATTGTTTATTTGTGTTCCTTCTGTTTTCTTGTTATACAATTTACTGCTATAAATTTCCTTCTTAGGACTTCTTTCACTGTGTCCCATAGGCTCTGGTATGTTGTGTCTGCATTCTCATTTAGTTGTAGATATTGTTTAATTTCTTCCTTTATTTCATCTGTGACCCATCAGTTGTTTAGGAGGGTATCATGTAATTTCCATGTTTTTATGGAGTTTTGCAATTTCTTTTGCCATTAATTTCTAATTTCATTAAGCAGAATTTAAAGGATACATTCAAAGAAATAGAATGCAGGCCCTCAAGAAAGAGTTGTGACTTATGATCCAGAGCTGGGTATATTTATGCGGTTTAGGGGTGTCTTCCAGTTGGGCAATCAGGGCTGTGAGCTCCTACTGCCCATCAGGTCCCCATCTGGTGGCTGTGTCAGAGTGCTGCTGCTCACTGCTGTGGCTGCTTCTTTGAGGGTACAGGTCTATGGGAGGAAGTAATTTACAGGTGAAAAACACAAGCCCAGAGCCCATTTCACAGGCTTATTGTACCTTTAAGACTCCTAGGAATGTTTTTTCTTTAGTTTCCTAGAAGTGAAAAAGGTTTGGATAACTTCTGTGTCCCGAAGCTTCAGTTTTTTAAAAAGTGTAATTATAAAACTCTGACTTTCCTTGCGTCCTTTCCACCTGTCTTTATTTTTTCTATCCTATCTCAAAGAAATTGCACAGACGATAGGGAAAGGAACTGCGTTCAGCTGCCCTGGTTTCCCGGCGTTTCCGGTTTGTGCACAATTAGCTTATTTTTTCCAGCGCGGCTCTCTAATAACAATGCACTCCCGTCCCTGCACTCCTGGCTCCGTGGATTTTATTACACTCATGCTGAAAGACAGGGTGTCTATGCACATAGTCTCTCTTCATTTGGCTCCAGGGATTTCCCTTTGCTTTGGAAAGAATAATCTTCCAAATTCCGCTATAAAATATACAGGACAGAGATAAAAAAAAAAAAAAATGCAGCTTCAGGAAAGTGCACAGGTTTTGACATCTCTTTCAAATCGCGAGCTAAAGCTAGACTATACTTGGTGTTGCTCATGAGAATGAGTAAGTCTTATAAATCCAAATGATCAACGGTGCCACTCACCACTGATTTCTACTGGTTTAGTTGTGCCTTTCTCTTTCATGATTTAAGACATAGGCAATAACCAGCAGGTGCCTGTGTTAGCGCCTTCGTGCCCTGAACTGCTCTACCCTAGTCCACCAGAAATATTTTCGGTGCGTAGCAGTTATCTCCTCTTTGGCAGCTAGCCCTGCTTTCCTGTCTCGTGGAACTGGCGTTTGCAAATAGAGGCTCACTGGAGTGTCACTAGAGGGAGGAGGAGGAGCCACCAGGCTTTAAAAAGGAGAGGGGAGTCATTCTACTTTGCAGAAGGAGGAACTGAGTCTGGGGCACGGGCTCCAGCCTCCCCCCAGGGTTGCAGTTCAAACTTTCCATGATTAGCTCCTTCCTTCTCTCTAAGATCTCACCTCTCACCGGAAGGCAGCTGCAGGCCTCTCAGGGCATCCACTGTTAAACTCTGTGAAATTCGGCATATGGGTGTCAGGTATTTCTTACTGGCTTCCAAAAAAAACATAGATAAAGAAATCTTTCCTGCAGCATTTTCAAGCTGCATTCAGAAGCTCTGTTAAGGTGAAAGACTTGCTGGAGGGTGGCAGCAAAACAGCAGAGGGAAAGAGTGAAAGATGTCCCGGAGCCAGCAGCACCTGCAGCGGCTGGACGTTGGTCACCCTGCTTGCTCCATGCTTGAGCCAAAGCAACTTCTTGTCCATTGAGAGTGCGTGCCGGTGGGGATCATGCTGCTCCTACTCAGCCTTCTGCTGCTGGTAGTTTTTAAGTTTAGTTTTGTTAGTGTCTTAGCCCAGCAACGCTGGAACTGTCCTGAAGGTCCCCTCCTGAGAAATGGGACTTCCACCTGTGTCGGTAAGTGATCGCATGCAAAGAAACACACACCTTCCAGCTACTGGGGCATTTATTCTGTTCTTGTTTCTGCTCTTCTGGTTTGTCTTTGGGTATGTGTATTTGTTTATTTTTTGTTTTCAGAGCCATGTTTATGCCCTTACTGGCCATTAGAGCTAACCTGCTACCAAGTATAACATTTCATGGTTCTCAGCTGCTCTGTGTGTGAGTGCAGTCTCATTTGAAGTGAGCTGAGCAGTGCTTTTCATGGGAGCCATTTCTAGTCTAACAGGAGGAGCACCTAAACTTTAGTTGATTAGCTTTATATTGGAAATGGGGGAAACATATGGTGGTGGGTATTCTTGTTTTTGAAACTGTCTCTAAGCTATAAAGAAGAAAAAAACTTCTTTCTAGTTATTTCAGGGTAAGAATTCAAAAGTTGCTACAAATCAGTAAAAATGTGGAAGGGAGAGGTGAGCAAAGGTGATTCTATCCTTGTGAAAATTAACCAGTGTCAAGTTCAGAGCTGTTTCTGAAGCTCTGACACCACTCCAGGGTTCTTAGTAACAGGTGCATTGTAGCTCTGAGAACTGCTGAGAAATGATAATGGGGAAATAAACCATGGCATCTCTCGTGAAAAATGGGTTTTTAACAAAGGGAAAATGGGAATTTCACTGAATGCAAGTTACCATCCTGACTAAGGCTCTTGCCTGAAAAACATTCTGTCTCTCACTGTTGATTCAAGTCTTCCTTGGGTGGCTGTCCAAACCACTGCTCAGACAAGATAGCTACTTCTGTTCTAGGGTACATGTGGCCCTACCTTCTCTTACTCTTTAGAGATGGTGCCTGGCTTCCAGAAAGAAGTAGACCAAGGGAAATACAGTAATAATTCCAGAAAAGAAAACTCTAGAAGGCAGCACATAACAGAGGGAATGAGAACAGGTCCAAGCCAAACTGCTGATTAGAGAAGTCATGCACGAGACATCAGGGGCTCTTGCTCAGAGCCTGGGACTGTCACCAGATAGGCTCATTCCAATAGGTGAGCAGAAGAACCCTAGGGTGTCTGAAGGAGGAATTGAATGCTAATTCTCTCCCTGTCCCCAGTAAGTAGAGTAATTTCACTTTCATTGAGTACCCTCAGCAAAGTCTTGCTGAATGAATGAGGAGTCCTTCCCTGGCCCATTAACCACAGAGTTCCAGAGAAGAATATCAAATGTTTAAAATAAAAAAAGGGACAGAGTAAAAAAATGACCCCATGAACCTCTGATGTCAGAGGCAGAAGTAAAAGCATTTGGTCATAGTTAAATCAAGAAGACTGGAGTGTCTCAGGACGGGAGAATTTTCCCTCAAGTAGATTGATGTAGGGGTGAAGATGGGAGCCAGCCTGGCAGCCAGGGGCAGAAAATCAGGACCCAGATTCCCAAGAAAGGGAAGAAGTTGAGGAAATAACATGTTAGGCCACTGTGTTCGCTCTTGTGTGGTGGTCCGCCTTCATGCTGTAGGGTGTATATCTTTTCCTTGCCCCAATCTTGCTCTGCAGAGCCTGCTTCTTTCCCTACTTTTAATAAAATTTTGCTACCTTTAAAAAGAAAGAAGGAACATTTTATGCCTGGCTCTATGGTCTCAGGAAATAATCTGTGCCTTGAGCTCCTTACCACCAGCAAGTGGCTTTACTGAAGCATTTTGGACCAAACAAACCTAGAGCTCAGGGTAGAGACGAGGAGTCAGGGAGATTTGCCATTGAGTGGAAGAAATGCGGGCTTTAGAGGTAAGCACACCTCATTTCAAACCCACACTACCTTCTGCAGAGTTGAGTTACCTCAGAGTATCACTGGGAAACAATACACCCTTTCAGGATGGTTGTGGAGCCAGCATGAGATAGCATGAGAAATGGACCTAGCACAAAATGCCCAATACATGCACCCAGGGCTCTATCTTTTGGATAAATTTCTTTGATCAGGTCATACCACACAGTGCCTTGAACAGTGCAGTGCTATGGCACAGACCTCTTGCTGTGTGCAATGTCTGGATGTCACTTTGGGGCTCTGCCTCTTTGCTGCCTCATTCCTTGCAAGTCACGGTTCTAAACCCCTACTTTACACTCTGGGTCTCATGGTGGATGATAACTGCCCAGGTCACACCCTGTCACCCCTACATTTCAGAGGATAGTATTTCTTTCTCCTCTCTAAATAGATATGGTGACTTCATCTATTTTCCCTTCCCCCCATTCGAGTTCTACTTGCCCCTGGCATTGAGACAGGCCACCTCGGCAGCCAGCCTGGCCCAGCAGGAAGAATGCTTTGTGTTTTGACAAGATCCAGCTAAACGAGGCCAGGTCACAAATCATGTGGCTGCTAACCAGCCGAGCCAAGGGAGACCCTCTCAGAATTAGGCATTCTCATCATTCCTGGTCCTCTTGTACTGAAACCGAGTATTTGCTTGGCTTCTTTTAAGCTAAAGAAAATGAGGATAACAGTAAAGAAAACTGCTGGCAAGTGGCTTCTGAATTCTCAAGATCTGTTTGCCCTCGAGGACAAATGTCAGTTGCAAAAGGAACTGTTCCTGTCTGGTGTATCAGCCTGAATTATTTTTATAAATGTTCTTTGTAAATGGAAGTCCAGGGAGCAGTTCAGCCTCCAAGCCGGCTGCGGGAGGGCACTGCGTCAGCTGGCTGGGCAGGGCACTTGAGGCAGTGGACAGGGAAATCACTGATTTCAGCACCAGCCAAGGCTTGGTCAGCTTCCCAGCCATGTGTAAACCAGAATCATTCCTAGATGTGAATCTTGTTTGTTTTCAGCCAGAGTTATGCACAAGTTTTTTTCTCTGCTTTTTAAAGCCTGACTGCAGAAATTGCTGCATGGCCTTTGATGTATACCACGTGACTGCAGCTACCTCCCAATACTGCGTGGTTTTTGGTCTGCAATTTTTCTTAGTGGAAAGAGGGTAAATGTGGGAGACTTGCTACCTGCCTGTGTTCGAATCCCAGTCCTGCTGCTAAAATAAAGCTAATTATGCCCTCCTCCCAGGACTGTAGCCAGTGTTGTGTTAAAGTGTTCACATTCCATGCTGGCTACCAGTTAAGGCCCCCAAGGGAAAGAATGTACTTTCTTTCAAGGAATTCCTAAAGGGTTTTGAAGAAACTGCCATATTCCATGAAGCAGTGGAGGGTTCCATTTAGCTTTAGTTATTACTCCAAATTTGAGCAAGCCTAGAATTGCTAGTGAACAAAAAGTTAGTTTTGTTATGTTGTGGTTTTTAATGCTAGAATTGGAACCAACTTTAAGAAAGAACCAAGAAAAACAAGTACAGCAGCCCTGATCGTTAAAATGCGATTGTCTCCTTGTCTGTCTGCTCATGCCTGCAGGACCACACTGTCACCAGGTTGCTAGTACCACTCAGTGTGGAGGAAGTGTTACCTAGAAATTCGGGGCTGAAGTGTTTTGTGGAGATTCTTTATGGACCCTGAGGTGGCTTTGCACAACATCAGCTCAGTCCATCCACAGCTGTCCCATTTGCTGGGGCTCATGACAAAAAGATCACCGAGAGTCAGGCCTCACAGGAAAAAGCAAAGATGAAGCAGAAGGGATCTTTACATTTTTTGAAAGCTCTCACTATATCTGAGAACGCATTTCTCTGTTGTTTTATGTGGTCAGTGTTATTAATCTCCAATAGCAATTGTGAAATAATGTAGGCAACAGTACCTTCCTTTGGGAGCTGTTCTATTCCTTAACGTCCTCTTCCAGAGCTTTCTTCTCAATTCTGGGAATTCACAAATATATAGAAAATTTCAGTCGTTTTAGCCAAATAGAAGGCAGGAACATCTACTCTCAACACCTCCTGGCCTTCTTTCTAAGCCTGGAGCTCAAGTGAGTTGTGCACTCCTCGAACACTTCTGGCCTTGATACTTTAATTCTCCCAGGCCCGGCCAAGCATGCTCAAGTCTCTCGGCACCTGGGTTTCCCAATTATTTCCTAGGATACTTTGTACTGGGGTTTGTGTGAGTCCAAGAGCACTTGAGGCCTAGACCACTCCTGAGATGGTGATTCTTGGTATGCACTGATTTAACTGCAAAGCCCCCTTCCAATGACAGGATGGAAAGGTCCCTTCCGAGAAAATCACTGCCTCCTCCCTCCATTGAGAAGATCCAGCCAGTACCTGCTACATACAAGCTTTGTGTGTTAGGTGGCTTTTCATTCATGCAGTTGTTCTTTCTATGGGAAGGCCGTTAGGATAGAGCCCTAATGGCATCATGGCCTCTGTCTTGCTCTGCAGCACATTAAAGAAATAGAGTCAGCTCAGAAATTCTGGTTAAAAGTTCAAAACTTGAAGCAGGTTCCTTCTTCTTGCATAGACTCTATCCTTGCACAAATGGGTCAAAGACGGAAGATCCAACTCAACATGGTCATAATCTATGCATGCTGACCCCAGGCCTGTGCAAAGCCCTTCCTGTTAGGAGGTTTAGGAATGGGTCTGGAAGCAGAAGATACCAAGCACCTGCTGATGTTTCCCTCTCTCCTCCTTCTCCCTCTTCCATAGCATGCAATGTTACTGACTGTATGAATTTCTTTTTTAAATTTTTATATTTCTGTTTCTATCTGCTGCATAAATGCTTGGATTTTCCAAATACTGATTGGAAGGAGTAATGTGGTCAGGTATGGAAAGCCAATGATCTCTCCATTGCTAGTGCAAAGTTACCATTTGGAGATCAAACAGTCATTACTGGGGAAAGACGATACAAACTTCCAAATACAAAAATCTTTGTAGTCTTCTGATATTTTAAATTCTTTGAAGAGTGGCTGTTGGTCCTTCACGTAGTTCTGTTGAGTACGGTTGGAGGTTTTAACTTGTGATATACTAAATTCTCCAGTCTTTGCAGATAGTTAGGTAAAGCACCAAAAGTGTCTTAGCCATTTGTTGGACACCAGTTTGAGAAAGAAACCTTTCTTCAATAGCTCAAATTCCTCAGTCCCAACATCCTTGTATATGTATTGAACAAAGGCAATCTTAACCTAGAAGCATATATG